GATCTTTAACCATAGGCATCGCCTTTTTTCTTTACCACGCCTTTATTAATAACCATTTTGATGAACTGTCTGCTACATCATAATATAGTTGAAGGATGCATTTATCCAGCTCAAGCCCGTATGCTGCCGTTGGACCTGGACCCGGCTCTATCGTTCTGCACGCACTTGATGTACGGATATGCCGGTGTCCACCCCGACACGTACAAGATGGTGCCCCTAAATGAGAACCTCGATGTCGACCGTACACACGCCAACTACCGAGCTATCACCAACTTCAAGGGAAAATACCCCGCTTTGAAACCAATGCTTTCTGTCGGAGGTGACGTCGATACCGAAGATCCTCAAAAGTACAACTTATTGGTAAGCGAATTTTGATTAATTTGGCTGTAATATGGTGTCTTCAAAAGTGCTAAGAAAGACGGACGGTTCCTTCGGTTAATTATTATTCATTCAAAATTACCTACTTATATTGATAGCTGTTGCTTAGTAAAGTTGCTAGAGGGCTTCTCAGATAGGAAAGGTTTCTGCTCTCTTGTAAGGATTTTAACTAGAGTTTCTTGATTATTCTATTCTAGTTTCTATAATAATTCTTTATTTAGCTATATGTTTACTTATGCAGCTGGAATCACCACAAGCTCGTACAGCTTTTGTAAACTCTGCCGTGCTTTTGGCTGAGCAACACGGCTTCGAGGGTATTGACCTCGCCTGGCAGTTCCCCAAAATTAAGCCAAAGAAGATCCGCTCCACATGGGGTAAGAAGAATCATCTCTTTTTTTCATTTTTTCTAGTGTTAAGAAGTACGCGATTATTATATAAGTATAATGACAACAACATTACCTAGTCTCTATACCTAGGTCTTTTTAGATGCATGTCAAAATAGTTAAAAAAGTTATTCGAATGTTTGCTATTTTAAAACTGTACAGTAATTAAAAATTAATATTCTTTATTTTGTAGGATCAATCTGGCATGGAATCAAGAAAACTTTCGCCACAACACCAGTTGACGAGAAAGAAACTGAGCATCGCGAAGGTTTCACGGCTCTCGTGCGGGAAATGAAGCAAGCTCTTAGTCTCAAACCCAACATGCAATTGTCTGTTACTATCCTGCCCAACGTAAATGCTTCTAGTAAGTAAATATACGAACAAAATCTCCATAATTTCACAGGTCTTCAAAAACGGAGTAGAATAGATTAGATACCAAAGCAAACCATGTTACGAGATTTTTCTTACTTTTTTATTAATTTGTGAAATGATGGATGAACAGATTCATATTTGTGTTAAATTCAGATGTTATAGTAGAAATTTGAAAATCATATAAAGTGGAGATGTATTGTTAAAGGAAATAATAAACAAGGCTGTTTCACGTACGTAGTACAAAGTTACGACACATAAAATGCAACCTTTTGCGCGTTCTAGAAACAAATGCCGACAAATACAATTCTTATTGAAGTCAAGTACGTGCATTTATTTACATCATAAGCAAATAAATTGTGTAATATGTTATTTAGCGCTTAATATTAAATGGGGTGAGATGAAATGATTATTTGCAGGAAATTTTTGTTCAGAACTAGATTCTAGAACAATGTCTTATTTATATATGAAATAGTCACGTGCATGTGTCCATGACTAATTAGCTTAGCTAGTAAATTATTTTAGTGTAGGTAACGCGTTTAACTTTGTTGGTTTGAAATTCAAATATCTTAAAATACGAATAACTTTTCGCTTTTATCCCAGCATATATCAAGTCTAAGGTTTAAGCGCTATAACTGTTTAATTTTTAAAGTCTTTGTCTATACTTAATATATATTTTTGATATGATTTTAGTTTACATCGATGTGCCTGCTATCATTAACCACGTAGACTTCGTAAACTTGGAAACTTTCGACTACAGCACCCCGCAGAGGAACCCGAAAGAAGCAGATTACACCGCGCCGATTTACACACCACAAAACAGAAACGAGTTACTTAACACCAATGCAGCTGTTAACTATTTGTAAGTACTTACTCCAAAAAAGAACAAATCTTTAAAAAGTGAAAAATATTTTAACCTGACATCTACATTGTATCGTAACCGCAAAAAATAAACTACACAACTACGCAATAAATATACTTACTTGTGTCTAAAGATTAATTAGGAATTTTTATATAAATTGTCTGGATAGAAATCATCATACCGGTCTACAGAACATCTAGCTAAAGTTTCATAATAATCTGATTAATTGTTTATATACAGTATACAAATATTAATTAATTAATTATTTATTACAGCACACAGGCCGGCGCTCCAACATACAAGATCATTGTAGGTATTGCTACATTTGGTCGTACCTGGGCTCTTGACTCAGACAGTGAAATCGCTGGAGTACCCCCCGTTCATGCTAACGGCCCCGGTGAAGCAGGTTTGTTAATAATTTGTATTTAGCCCATGACATTTAAATTGTCAAGACTGAAAAAGAACTTTCTTATTCCCTATAAATCAAAATGCTCGTATTATTTGAAATGCATGAATGCAAACTTTTTTTTATTGCAATTCTGATTTCGAATGCATTTGTGCACTCCTTATTCTGCATTAAAATGCATGATATGTAATTTTGAGAGTTTACGCATTTTTATCTTTAAATTTGAATTAGAAATATATTTTCGTATTTCTTTTAAAGGGCCATACACAAAAACTGAAGGTCTTCTCAGCTACCCTGAAGTATGCGCTAAGCTGATCAACCCCAATCACCAAAAGGGCATGCGCCCTCACCTGAGGAAGGTGACAGATCCCAGCAAGCGTTTCGGTATGTATTAATAAAATAACATACGCTTCATTGCTAAAAAATATACAGATAATCAATAGTTTTTATTGCGCTTCTACTAAACTATTTGGGAATTAGCAACTGCCTTTAAATTTTCAGAAAAGGGCTTAACCAAGGATGAAGATTTGTCATATATTTTTGGTTGGTACTCATTTATAAGCTTTGAGTGTTGCTTATAGCTTGTAGAACCGATTTAACAAATCCTCATACCTATTGATCTATGTTTCGCAAATTTCTAATAGTTGCTCCTATCATTGATAACATAAAAGTACTCGTATATTTATGGATTGACTGTACCTAAAAATACTTTTTAAGACTGATTTACATGGTTTTGTAGTTTATCACGCTATTCGCGGCTCTATTAACCTGTATTCGCTCGCTCGTAAGTGATAATTAAGCTGTGATTTTTTAATATAAAATTAATTTCTTTATGGATTGTTTTATTATTATCTACTCTAATTGTTTATTGACGCATTGTATTTGTCTACAGGAACTTACGCTTTCCGCGTGCCTGATGACAACGGCGAAGGCGGACTTTGGGTGAGCTATGAAGATCCAGACACGGCCGGACAAAAGGCAGCTTTCGTTAAGTGAGTTATTGATTTTTTATATTTATGTCGTCGTATTAATTAGTTATTTAATATAGTAATATAGTAATTTAGAAAATATTTTTTACCAAAACAAATTATAATTAATTAGAACCTTTGGTATAGTTTCAAATTCCATAATTTACAATACAAATTTAGTGCAGTCTATATTATTTAACTACGTTGATTGTATTAAAATTGTTTGCTCACGATTTTTTTTTTCAGGTCCAGAGGTTTAGGTGGAGTCTCGATCGTCGATCTTGCCATGGACGACTTCCGTGGTCTTTGCACCAGCGATAAGTACCCAATTCTCCGCGCTGCTAAATACCGCCTTTAAGTTTATGTTTTTTTATTTAAAGACGCGTTTAAGATTAAGAGCAAATATATAACATTGAAATGTCATAAATAAGTTAAGATCTCCATAATAATGAATGTTAATGCACTGATTCGTATATTTCTATTTTACATTTTTCGAATCTCTGAGACAGCGTTCTCCTCCTGTCTCCACTTGGCGATGCCAATGGTCACTAATATAGATTCAGGAAAAATCATTACATTTAAGAATACTGTTTATAATTAATAGAATTTTTAAATAAACGTATCCCGATATTATTGTTTTTTTAATAATACACCATCGTTCACGTGAAATATTTCCTCTCCTCACTCCCTAACTCCTACATTCCGAATAGATTAATTTGAATTAAGTGGTTCAAATCACTTTTTATTCTTTTTTTTAGTAGGAGAAAACAAGCATAATATTGACGAATGTGCTGTTACCAAGATTTATGTAGAAAAGAAGGGAAAGTGGATTATCTTACTCCGCTATGAGTACAATGAAGTATGGGGTGCTAAAATAATTCTAATTAACCCCTGTAGTAGTAAAAGATAATAAGCAAGAGGCAAAGCGGACTATCAGGGGCCAAGACCACTGAAGTCTATAGATACCCAGTAATTTTGTATAAAATGAAAATCATAACCGTAAATGCGCTCTAACGAAACATTGGAAAAGAACTAAGGAATTGGAAAGAAGTACATAGGTAACATTATATTGATTTTAGATATAACGGACATTTTCTTGCTAGATCTTTAGATTTCATGGTTCAGCCATCATCAACATCTTGCTATTGGTTTTGGTTTGTATCCGACTTCAAAAAGAAGGAGGTTATGTATATATAGAATAATTAACCCTACTTTAAAAAGTATTATGTGGTAATTAAGTTTGATAAAGTTAGATCCAGAAATACATTCCTCGGTGGCTATTTCCCGACATGATTTATTTGTAGCCAAGCCAAAATATGTACTAAAGACTGCGATATACACTGTAATTTTTAAAATCGATTATATAACTGGCATACTATTTGGCTATGTATAGTCTGGTCTCTAAGACCATAAAACCATAACTCATAGTGTAAAGAATAACCATGAGTAGTAGAATAATTAAAAATTACTTTAGTGTGGTGGTGATTAATTTGGGTACCGTTACACGATTTTTTTGACTGATTTTCTATTATGTATATAATGTAAAATGATGAATGTGGAAACTACATAATATAATGACATAATTCATGGCAACATACTATTTAAATTTTTATCTGTGACGTTCCCTCACGCGAATGAATCTATTTAATCTATCATAGGTCGGAGGGAACTTTATTTTTAATATATTACATTGATTTTCTTTTGAGTCTACTTCGAAGTACTTTCGATATATTTTTAGTATCCAGATTTATTGCTTTATGCACGAATATTTACATTTAATGTAAAAATGTCATTTATTATGCGAACACTACAATGGCCGTGCTATTTGAGTGTCAATAACAAGTGTTTAGTTGTATTGGGACTTTAATTTGCAATGGTTGTATTTAATAATGTGACGATGGATACTTTTCATCAAAAGAAATGGCTGTTACTTTTGATAACTATCGTGTGGCGGGAGCTGGACCTTGTCAATGGTAAGTTATTTGCTTACTACAATTTAATTTTCAAAAGATTTCACGAGTGTATTATAGATAAAATTCATCAATTAAACAAAAGTTGTAAAAAGATAGTTTAACTACAAATTTCCTATTTTAATTGAATAGCACATTTTATGATAAAGTATTTTTATTTACTATTACCACCTAAACTTTTACCAGAACTTCAATAAATTATTTATTTCTATAAGAAAACATATAGTTGTGTTACATTGTGCCTTCTTTTAGATTCAAATAATAGAATATTTTTTAGTTTAATATTTTGCCTATCAACTTTAGTGTTTCATTGATGATAGAATCAAATTCATAATTAAACAGTTTCGCTTACATAATATCAATAAAAATATATTAAAAATATTAAAATATTATTCAAAGTTATTTTATTTATTTTTATTATTATATATAATAAACTTTGAACTTATATATATATATAATAAATTTTTATAACCAGGTTAACCTTCCATGTGCCCTAAGTTGAAATATTTTTTATTGATTAATTCATAAAATACATAAAGATGGCCTCTGTTATTAATAACTTGAGTTAACAAGTAAACTTACAGGTGGAACAATTTAGTAGGTCACATTTGACATCTGTCAATTTCAGTTTCATAGTCAGGTAAGCTGCTAAAAAACAACGAATAAAGTGAATAAATTTATTCAGACATCAAACACATGTGAATCAAATTCAGTTGTTATAAAATATTCACAAATGGGATTGTTTTCAACTAATGGTTTATTCATTTTAAAGCAATGCATTATTACTGTTTTCGGTCAGATTTGAAGTATTCACTGATATGAGGTGGCCAGATCTGACCTTGCTACATTTTAGTTAACAAAATATGTAATAAGTTTTGGATAACTTTTTTTTATTTACATATTAAGATAGTACTGCCTCTACAATATAATATTATATATATATATATATATATATATATATATATATATATATTTATTTATATATTATATTTTTAAATAAATATATAAAACAGTAAACTGACTGACTCAACTATTAGCCCTCAGTCTATATGTCTGGGTCAAAAATTCGAAATTTTGATTAGAAATCTTTCAAAAAATCTTTTACTAAGTTAGCATCACTTAGAAAGAATTTTACGAAATTCATCCCCTAAGGTCCAAAATGAGGGTCCAAAGTTTGTATGAAGCAAATTACATTGGATGAATTTCATGAAAATTGAGATAAATTGTTTTTAGCAGAAATAATTAACCACAGCCTTTAGACTTTTAACAAATTTATACTTATAAGATCTAAAAAGGGCGGTCTTAGCTCTTATTTATATTTTTTCACAGCATAGACACAAATTTTAGAGACTTGAAATTTTATATTTGGGTTTCTATGACTTGAGCGCTATAAATGATGTTGTAACTGTTTGTTTATAAGGTCATTGTCATACATTTTGTGTATAGACTATACTACGGGAATGTGAATTTTACTGTTACAATAGTATGCAAGATGTCTTAAAAAATATTAATTTAAAAATGACAATTGTTTCCACATTTATAAGGTGTCAACTTGTCTTAAATGTTATTCATAAACTGACCATAAACCATGTTTGTTTGATGTCTCTTTGGGAGGAAGAAAGAATATGTGTAATGAGAAATGATTTGATTGTTTGTTTGTATTGAGAAGGCCCCCACTAACATCTAAAAAAAAATTAAAAAACTATTTCGCTGTCGGGAAACTACACTATCTCCAGATGATATAAGCTATATTTATAACTAGATATTTTATATTATACATCACGGACAAAGTCACTGACAAATGCTAGTTATTGATAAATATATTGTATGACTGCATACTGTACCTGCAGTCTTCAACAAAAAAAAAATTAAACAAATGATAAAAATAAAAAAATTTATAACAAACAATGTATTTAATGTTTATGAATTATTCAATAATAATTCTATGACATCAGCAGTGATAACACATAAATAGTCTTGAGTTATTTTGTTTTGTACAAAAACTTTCAATAACAATTTGTACATGATACAATGTGTTATATGAAAAACAACCGCTGAATATATCCCTATGTGATTTTGATTTTAAATGCAAGCACCTTAAAATGGTTATCTAATTTTTCTGTTTAAATATTATATAACCAGATAGAATATTGTGCGGTTATTACCGAGTTTTTAGCAAACTATGATTATTTATTAGCACAAATAATGCCTTTGTTTAATTTATTATTATCTTTTGACTATGGCTACTTCATGTCAACATTTAATATTATAAATATCGTTGTTTAAAATTAGTCCCATAAACATTTCTATTACAACATTGTTATTTAAAGAGAAGTATTGGTTAAATGAATATTGACATTTGTAGTATAACTAGCAATTGTAGTAATAAATATAGCATATATATCACGTGGGTTTAGTCTGACTTCCCAACAATGAAAGAACTATCAATATGAAAGAATATTCAATAGTCTTGAGACTATTTACCGAAAACAAACTATTAGTAGAATCTTTCTTAATATTAGTATAGATAAATATTTAGGGTACTAGAAAGCTACTGTTTATTCATCTACAGTTCTTTGTCAATCACATGTAATATCTATTTTATAGTTAAAGTTATATTAAAGAACTTTCTTCAGTATATCACCACTAAGGAGCTCAATAATAAATTAGGGGTTAGTTTGGTTAGGTTGTAGTTACATGCTAGCCCAGTGCGGATTGGTTGACTTCACAAACATCCCTGAATTTCTTTGTAGAGATATGCAGTTTCCGTTACAGCGGTTTCCTGCAACAAAAGAACATCACATAAATGTATGAATCAAGGTCTTTACCCTATATGCTACAGACAACCAACAAAAAACTTTCTCATTTTAAATATAATTTGAGGTAATAAATTTGCAGGTCTGAAGTGTTATTGCAACAGTGATAGTCCCAGCTGCCCTAACTCAACATGCGAGACAGACGGATTCTGCTATGCATCAACAACATTGGAACATGGAATACAGAAATATTCATACCAGTAAGTAAGCTTCTCAGTGTTGTTGCATAATTTCTGTTTTGTTAGTATTTTTTTACGTTTTTTTAATGTTTTCATGACAATATTTTAATAAATACATCTAACAATATCTTCAAAACTTGATAAAACAAACTCACTAGTAAGTACGAAATAAAAACACTGATATTGAAAAGGTACTGCAGAGGTGCATATTTATTTGAGTGTTCCTCTAAATGGTTGTGATGCATTATTGATAGAATAGTCCCTCAACAATTGGCAAATATTCAACACAAATGTGCATTCTAATGGCTTCAAAATAAAATTGAATATTTTGCAACATTTTTAATCAATTTTATGAAACAATTAGTTATAGAGTGCTGGCCTTAAGGTGTATGAACACGAGCCAAGCCTTGTATCGAGAAGGCTTTCCAATCATATGCACGCAGCCAAGATATTATTGCTGTTTTAAAGATTACTGCAATTCTGATGAGATTTCCCAAGAAATATTAAACACAGTGGTACATACCTCAATCCTGGGTAAGATGTTCTGCACTTGTGGGTGTGTGATACCTACTTGACAATGCAAATTTTGAGTTTGTTTGATGTACTATTAGAATATAATTGCATTGCCACTTCTTCCAGTAAGTTTTGTGTTGAGATGCCAATATTCTAACAAATATCGCTTATGGTTTAGTGATTTGAATATGTACCTACTAAGCGATAAAGGCGACGGCTTCGACCGTAGGCCGGTTATAATTAATTCGTATGTTTTGAATGATGTGCCGTAATGTTAACAAAGACTATTTGCCGAGTGTGCATTGGTTTCGCTTTAACCTACTAAAACGTAATGTCTGCTGGTTCCACTTGCGGCGCAGCTGTATCGAGTTGAAATCACTGATACCCATCGAGCACCCCTTCAGTTGCTCCACGACGAGAACTAGAAATGAATCGGTGGTGATAGAGTGTTGTAAGTCACATGACATGTGCAATCGCGACCTGCGCCTGGAGATCCATAAGAAGCCGGCAGGTAGGAGCGACGTGGCGGTAGTGCCCTCGATGTCTCACTAAGTTGAGCACTCTAGCTTCCTGCCACTGATACCCAATAATATCAGACCCCAGCAGTCCCGCATGGCTAATATACCTACGATTATGTTTTTGTTCTAATATTACTAAGTTTTCTTCTCCGTAGACCGGCATTGATCACCGTATTAGTATATTAGTTCAACGCGTTATTTCGATTGCCTAACGCTCTGATTTGTGATGTAGATGTTGGCCCCAAGAAACGATATTCCCTCCAGGGGATAGGCCTATTTGGTGTCGCGAAGCCGAAAGCGCCGATATGTTTTGCTGCGACACGGACTTCTGTAATGTTGACATCTTTACAGGTACGGAACACGTTGGGAATGTGTCACCGTCAGGGAGCCTGTCAGGGTAGCTTTGTTATGTGACGTCTGCGTAAGCAACATTTACTCGACATGCTCGTTCTCGCGCTCTAATTAAATACCTTAATCGATCATACAAACTGGGATTTTAACAAATAAAAAAAGTACAATGAGTGCATTATAAAATTGCATGAAAATGTTATGATTGGGAAATATTTAAACTTTATTTTTAAATTGGCCACACTGATAATGTAATACATTAAATTATCAGTTTCGTCAATACCTACTTGATTACTTAGGTCACCCAAAAATTGTTTTAAAGTAGGAAAAACTTGCAAGTGTCATCTACAACGTATAAAAATTAGATACATATTTGAACGTGAGTGAATAATAAAAGAATATTGTACTAACGAATGAATATTTGAACAAGATATATAGGAGTTATAATGGTAGGAATAAACGTTGTTATGAATCATTACTTGGTTAGATAAATCGAAATCAATAAAATTAATTAATTATTATTATGTTAAGTAAATATAGAAGAAAGAATGGAAGCAGCGACTGGAAAACGAGTATATAATATAGTGAGATGATTGCGTAGACCTCACGACCTCATGTCATTCGACGATACAGCGATCATGGAATGTTCCACAAGTCAACATTTATACGTGATCATAAGCCGGTATTTTAATATCGTTTAGCTTTTCTATATTAATACTAATTGCATGCAATACTACTACAATCACTTTCTAACAGTTTTTTAAACTTGCTTTTATTTAAACATGCACTATTATAGAAACAAGAGGTTTGAATCATTTGAAATTCATAACTGATAAGGTTATGAAGTGATATAGAGGTGATGGAACTACATAATTGCAATGATTGAACTGTAAATAACTTATTCAATAAAATGTACAATAAAATTGATTAATAATGTACTTGCTTTTTGTTTGTTTATTTGCTGCATGAAGCTTGCTTTGTTCGTATATATTTGTTATTATGCTGATTATGACATATTTACACGCTACCGATGAATGTGTTCTAGTAAGTTTTACTCTAAGAGTATATCGGTGCTAAGGATTGTACAAAGCTACATTCATACAATAAACTCTGTCGATTACTTTACACCTTACTGACAGATGTCTTATCATTGGAGAAAATAATCTTTAAATAACGAATCCATAATATATCCATACTACAAAGTGGCCCTAAAGAGTATACGTTCTTTGGACGATTTTACGATTGGACGCATTTTTTTTCATACCCTTAAATATCATACATTCAAAAATTTGTGCTTTTCATGGTAATGTTAACTGGTGAAGGGTTTGACGTAGATAAATTTATGTTTTATGATATCTGAGCGTATTACACAATCAGATTTATGTATAAATGCTTTTTTAAAAAGCTTTGCACAAAATGAGGTGTGATAATTGTTATTCTGAACCAAAGACACGGGTACGTCAGCGACGGCATGGCAAGTGGTGCCGTGGCTTATGGGTCTGATGGTGCTCGGTGTGTGCGCGGCTATAAGCTTCTGGTGGGCGAAGCGATCAAGCAACGTGAAGGAGAGAGGCTCCCGTCCGCTTTACCCAACCGAGGAGTCTCTGTGCGAGACGCGACATCCGATCACCGCTACTATACGAGACATGATTGAACTTACGACCTCCGGATCTGGATCAGGTGAGTCTTTCATTTGTATGATACCATTTTATCAATTCCTAAAAACATAGACTTAGAAGAAAATTGCAGAAAGAGAGACATACGCAATTCTAATGTATTGTCTCTGTCTAAAACTAAACATTGTACTGTAGAATCTTTGAATTTAAGTAAGTTTATATTTTGGAAACTGAACTAATTGTTTTTGCAATACTTTCATCTGTATTTTATAATCCAATGTCGGTAAGAATTTTGTTACTCCCGGTTTTGTAGTTGTGAGTTTGTTCGATAAGTTTCAAAACGTGCTCTATTTTTACAAGTTAGACGAATCGATAGAGACACGTGTGCCGGATTTGAAATTTCTTGGCCCCTATTTAAATTTCATGAGATCTTATTTCAATGACACGTTTATCTTTTCAGCATTTAAAGAGGATCTATGACGTACAAAGAATTTTTTTTCGATTGAATTCAACATAGATACGTTTTTGCATAATTTTGTCCCATGTCTCTTGTACAAAAGTAATCGTAGCTAATATTTTTAAAATAGCATAGCAATAGGTTACATCGTCTGAACAGACTCCTTTTTTTCAACCATGATAAGCCTTTATTCAGCCTCCTTAGCTAAATATTCATAGAAAAAAAATTCAATCTGATAAAACCATCTGAAATACTACGTACAGGATTTTAGGCACGTTACCAATTATTGTAATTTTTTGTAGGTTTACCCTTACTTGTACAACGATCGATTGCGAGACAGATACAACTAGTGGACATTATTGGTAAGGGGCGCTTCGGTGAGGTATGGCGGGGTCGCTGGAGGGGGGAGAATGTTGCGGTCAAAATATTTTCATCACGAGAAGAATGCTCATGGTTCCGTGAGGCAGAAATATATCAAACTGTAATGTTGCGACATGAAAATATCCTTGGTTTCATCGCTGCGGACAACAAAGGTTAGCGTTTTTTATAAATATTCTACCTAATAGAGAAAGAAATCCATAGTGCTACCTCTCTTAAAAATAGGTCAAACTAAACATCCGCTACTTATTCTGTTAGTTGGTCAGTCCTATCAATTAAAATATAATTTGTATTTTAGATAATGGAACATGGACGCAACTATGGCTAATAACAGATTACCATGAGAACGGTTCGCTTTTTGACTTCCTTACATCGCGCACTATTGACTCCAATACTTTGATTAAGATGTCGTTGTCGATTGCAACAGGATTGGCCCATCTTCATATGGATATTGTTGGCACTAAAGGTATTATAACTTTTTCTGCCATTATTATTCAACAAATCATGTCTACCATTTTCGCTTATTTATTTTTCTATTGGTAATTTATTTTCAGGCAAACCAGCTATAGCGCACAGGGATTTAAAGTCGAAGAATATTCTCGTGAAAAGTAATTTGACATGTGTGATCGGCGATCTCGGTTTGGCGGTGAGACATAATGTAGCGAGTGACTCTGTGGATATACCCTCAACTAATAGAGTTGGCACTAAACGTTACATGGCACCAGAGGTATGTAAATCTTCAAAGAATATTATCTTATTATCAAAATCTTACTTCTTACTAATATTATAAATCCGAATGTTTAGATGGATGGATGTTTGTTTGAAGGCATCTCCAGAACGGCTGAATGGATCTCGATGTAATTTGGCATACATGTAGAACGTAGTTGGAAGAACACATGGTCAACTAATTATGTTTTCTAATTCAGCGCGGACGTAGTCGTAAGCAACAGCTAATAGTCATAAAGTCAGAAGTTGATCTATAAATAGTACAAAAATGCATGTTATTTTGATATACATATCTTATATTCCAGGTTTTGGACGAGAGTATGGATTCTAGGCAATTTGATCCATACAAACGATCGGATGTGTATTCCTTTGGTTTAGTTTTGTGGGAGATGGCACGTAGATGTGGTATAATGCCGGATGAATATCAACCGCCGTATTACGATTGTGTACCTCCAGACCCAAGCCTTGATGATATGAGACGCGTCGTTTGCTTGGAGAAAAGGAGACCCAACGTTCCCAATAGATGGCATTCGGATATTGTAAGTAAATGTCTGACTACTTCTAAAGTTATTGATATTTCTTTTCTTATATTATCCTTACCTTTTAATAATCTTTGCCTTTCTGTCTTTCTGAAGAGGACTAGAATTAGAACTCTGGTATTTATCGAAGAAAATGTCTAATCTATTTCATGCCTATTAGGTTATAGTTCACTGGTCAAGAGTTCTAACACGTCATGATACCCCTATTTATAGAATATAAGACACATATCAATTTATCAGTTTCCCTCAGTTTAATAATAAGCTATTCGTATTGTGAATAATTAGAAATGTTATAAGTAAATGTTTTTTTTAGGTATTGTCAGCGATATCGAAGGTGATGAAGGAATGCTGGTACCAGAATCCGGCGGCGCGGCTCACGGCACTACGGATCAAGAAGACATTGGCTAACATCGCAACTGCGGATCACATCAAACTGTAATTACTCCCAAAAGGTCGGTCCATTTTTCTAATATCATAAACGCGAATGTTTGTATGTATGAATGTTTAAAGGTATCTCCATAACGGCTGCATGGTTCTCGGACAGATGGACAGATGTAGGACATAATCTGGAATAACATATAGTCTACTAATAAAATTTATTTTAATTCGGCGCGGACGGAGTTGCGGGCGACAGCTAGTTTTGTTACTAAAAACATTTTAACTGACCTTATAACATTTTAACTAAGAAGAATACAAATCTTGTGACATCTCTCCAATACTTTACAATTACCAACCTTTTAGGTCTATTAAACTTATTTGAAGTATACTTCAGTTAATGTCACCGTGGGTTTCTGAGATCAAAATCCCTGTTTAAAACATATTGTTATCTCTGTTTTGTCAAAGATAATGACAGGGATGACAATATATTTATACAGATATTTTGATGTCAAAAATCAACAAGTGTGTCTACATAATATCGTTTTCCTCAGATTTTCGACGACATTGGCTGGCTAGTATGCGGTGACTAAAAGAATTCCATGTAATTCCTTTAAGGCGTGTAAAGGATTCCGACCCTACCTCGTAGTTTTATATTCGAGTAAATATCACATTGGAGCATTTATTGTAGTAAAACTTTACACTTTACAGTAGTAGGGACATTCGTTGTAGTGATATTGTTTTGTTACCAACTACGTAGATTTAAGTTTTGTTAAGGCTATTCCGTTTATCGTTTTAATATTATTGAGCATATCGTAAACTAAATCTTAGTGGGGATTTTTATTTTTGTAAAGCTATTTTACTGTGATATAAAGCTAAAATTGCAGCTATTCTTCTCAATTTTGCTTGTAATCGGTTGCAAGTGTGTTGTTTTTATACATAGGGTTTTGTGGGATATCACCCATACCCTATTTTACGCAAATAGTTGATATACAAAATAGTATGTCAATTATTTTCGTAATTTTTTTATCCAATTAAAAAAAAATTGTTATTATCGTCTGTCCGTAAAATCAAGTATCCCGCGTAATATAATGTTCCCGTATCCGCAGGAATACTTTGATTATTATTATTTAAAGTTAATGTTTTACAATTATTTCACAAGGTGAACTTTATTTGCCCCACCCTATGACGTCATCGGCAAAGGTTATCGCATTTTGTGCAAGTGATCAAAACAAAATCGTATCTAAATAATTGATACCGAAAATTAATTAAATTAAAACCTTTTCTGAGATGACTTGTTAAATAATAAATATATCATATTTAATATAAAAAATATCATCTGTATACATGTTGACAGATCTGTTTCTGACTTGTATGTCGGCCAATTTAATTGTTTGTTGTTTTTTTTTAAATTGAAACAGTTATCCTTTATAATTTGACATCAAATCATTAATAGATCTGTAACCTATATCTTGATATTTATTTTCTGTTTACATTCTTTGTAATATTTATAGATCTTAAGACGCGTTTGTTGAGAATAACGGCGACGTGTTTGAGAATTTTTATATCGTACGCGATGGGTTGCCACTGTTGAATAGTTGTATATAAAAATGTCATTTCTGACATTTATGTTTTACGAGAATTTAAACGGTTATTAAACGAGGATATTTAAGAAACTAACCATGGGTTTCTGACATTGAAATCTCTGTATATCGTCATCCCCTTCATTGGCAAAACATAGATGACAATATGTTTTTAACGGAGATTTCGGTCTTAGAAACCCACGGTTAACTGCATTATCTTTCTATTAAGTCCAGTTTTTATCAATAACGATCAAAATTTCTCAAACACATGAGGACGCGTAAAGGTAACTTTTTATACAGATTTAGCTTCTATATATTGTTTTGATTTTGTATATATAATATTATATGTGTGTGTTTTAATGCAATTTTTAAATGATCGTGCACGTTTTATATGTTAATAGGATGTCCCATTTTTCCATAGTACAGTACAGCAAGCAAGTTAGTTATGAACCTAGGATGATATTAGCAGCTTAATTAAGTAGACATTTGACATCCCATAAATACATTCACAATTAGTAAAATGTTTTTAGTGCAATTATTATGTTTTCTAATAGAATCGTGTTGTGTAACACTTCACACATTCAATATGTGTATAAACATATAATTATTCTACCTCATACCACTATTTTAAATTTAAATTGTATTGCTTTTTTATTCTAAAAACAAACAAAAAAATTACACCTTTATACTATCCAAAAATCTTTAAATAAAATTACAAAAATAAGAAAATATAAAAAAAAAATTAGGATGTCGGTTAAGGATTATTTCCTTTTTAGATGTAACAATTTGTACACAATTAGATTTTATATATTTATTTTTAGATTAATATTGTTTTTTCAACATCACCTATCTAGTCCAAAAATCTTTCGATCTACCGTGACTGGGATTTTTTCAATGTTTCAGCATGTTGAATAATTCTGAATTTGCCTTTTAAAATCCTTTGAATCAGGTTTTAATGTTATTGAAGACAAACGACAGTGGACGGCTATCTTTTATATGTAAACTGTCAGTCGTTAAAATATGTATGAAGTGTAACATAACGTTGTTTTTTAGTTTTTTAATGATATATTCCATTGGTAAAGTAATGCGTATTGAAATATGTAATTTGTTGCATGTAGCTGATCGAGATTGTGATTTAAGGCTGAATGTTTTTAAAAATATGATTATACTAAAAAATTAGAAATGCTTACTTCTGTGCAATAAATATGTTTTTATACAAACATAAATAAAAATTAAACAGTTTTTTTGATGCTTATAGTGAAAAGTTCACATTTTTGCAGACATTGATTATCGTATTTATACCACTAAATTATCAAAAAAAAAATTTACAATTTATCTTTCATAAGTTTTAATTATAAAAGTTGAGATATCTATTGTATATGAATAATTGTATTGTGTAATTTAGGTAACACACGTTAGATTTTGCATGACAAGTAAAACCTAACGTGTGTGACCTGCATTATGGGGGAAACGTGAAGTATCAATGTGCGATATACAATAAGCCTAATAATTTTTAGTCGGAACACATATCTCTAACAGTATAATCATACATTTATAAAGGCTATTTAACTTTGGCTGGACAATATCTTTGTACATAATTGGATATTGACATTCGGTAGCGCTAAAAATAGACTGATTTTATATAATAAAACCGTAGTGTGGGCTTATATTAACACATGAAAGTATATCCATGTGATTGTATATAAGGTGTTGCAGTGATTTGTTGTGGAATCATTTATTGTGTGAAATAATGGAAAATAACGACACATTTCGATTGTTAAATATTCATAAATAAAAAGTCATATTGTCATGAATATTTAAAATATTACGTATTCATTTATTAATCGTATTTTTAATATAGTACATTTCATATCCAAAAAAAATGTATACAAAACATATTATAATAAAAATAAAACACCACCGGCTGCGGAATCCCATGACTCAACCAGTGGTCAGGGCTGCAGAGACAGGAATCTTCTTACGATGCATGCGGTTTCTAGGATAACTTCCTTTTGTACCGAGCTCTTAATCCAACTGTTTAGCGAGAGCTTGTGATGTTGGTCGAAACTCTTCGCTATCAGTAGATGTATTCCACAGCATTTCACTCGGTTTAGAAGGTTTGTCAGTGGCTAAATTACCTCAAATTCTAGTAAGCAATAGGTTTTATTGTGATACTATATTTGTCAACATCATTTTTATTGGTGTTATATTTTGGTGTAATGTACTGGGATATGCTTTGCTATGATCCTTTTATTTAAATATTAATTAAATTAAGTTTTTAACCAGTAATTTTGAATTGAATTTTACATGTAATTGTATATTACGATTGCAATTTATTCTTATTGTATTTTCTTACATTAGGTGTTGTTTATATACCATTGTCATCTTATGCTATGATAAGTTATCAATTCTTTTAGAATAATTTTAATAAATGTGTATATACATTTTTAGTACTCACTTTCAGTAAGAATTTATACCAAAAAGAAATTGTTAATTTTGATGCTATACTATATCTTTTAAGGCGTACTATCAAAATAAAACAGGCAAATTTTATATTAGTAATTAACAATTTTGTATACAAGTTGAATAAGACAAACTCTCTGATGTAGGAACCTTTATCGGGTGAAAAAAAAAACTTGGATTGTCTTTTATAGCTAACGAAAACTTTGTTTTGCAAAATTAACCGGAGTGAACCTAAGGTATTCAAATACTGATAACGTCCAGTTATTTGAAAAATATTAAAATTAAGAAACGCATAAAGTCGATAGACTTATAAGAAGAAAGGTTAGATTAAAACGATATTGTAGGTTGCACTAGAAAATGACTAGATCAAGAATGACTGAAATCATGTCTGAGATTCATTTTCCACTAACTGGGCTAGCCGAAAGCGACCGCTATTTCTTTGTGAAATAGTATCATTTTCGCAAGCGTGGCGACTGTTGTATAAATAGCAGTCTTTTGGCTAATCGCTTAGTGGAAATTGGGGTTTAAAATTCTTATCAGTAGTCTTGTGACGTCCGTTAGAAAACTCTCCTTGGCTATCTCTTGTTAAATAGTTCAGGTATATCTCTAGGATAAGATAATGAAATCGGAAATCAATGTTAGTGAATTAGTATAAGTGTGTAACATTAATTTAAGACATGTCTGTTGTTAGATTATACAAAAGAAGTCCGTTCTCATTGCTGCCCGAGAACATGTTAGATGAAGATTTAACAAACATTTCTCATCATCCAATAAGCGTATGCATGCACCTGAGACCGGCAACTTATAAAGACAATTGAAATATAATTCCACCTAAGTCTTTTTTTCACTAAACTTTATGTAGATTTCTAATTACGGGAAACGTATACATATACAGTTTTGTATTAAGTTTAGTTAAAGAATGAGATAAAAGTGTTAGAATTAGACTTAGTTATCAAGTTCAAATGAATGGTAAACAATGAATGTACAAGCATCAAACTGTGCGTTTGAGATGATTTGATGAGCAATACCAAGAGAGTACAAGTAATGTAATTACTTAAATGCAATAACTTAAATTATACGGTCAAAGGCAGTGTCATATCACGAAATCATACGAATTCGATGATTTATTCCAAATATGAATTATTATGTACATACCATTATTTAATTATCCCATTATATAAGTTTTACGAATTGGTGGTTACGGAGTGGACTAATTAATTTGATTAATAAACAAGTGTTTTTATAATCAACTGTTTTATTTCTGTCCTTTCTTTCCATTTAGTTTTTAAGAACTTAACCTTGGCCCTTTACCTTAGTGGGGTAAGCAGGTACATAAGTAAAATAAAAATACATTTTATTCTAATATTTGAACACTTTATTGGACGGAAAAAATTATGACAAAATTAACTTAATCATATTTTATATATAATTAACATTATGTGCTATTGACCTTGTAAAAAATGCGCATATACATTTTTATAATATAAAAATTATACTTAAATCTTTATAATTCTAAATTGATAACACTATAATGTAATCAACGTGGACGGACAATACAAAAAAATTAAAAAACCTTAAAAATATGTTGAATATCCATAAATGTTGAAAAACATTCACATAACTCAATCTAAGAAATTGTTTATTTTTCATACATTTTTGCTATTAATTGCATAAATAATACTGGCTTTACCAAAAAAGTTTAAAAAATACAAAGATAAAAAAAATCACTACAAAGAAAATAAAATAAAAAATCAAGATATACATCACTGTTTCTTCCAGTTTCCACAGTACCAATGTTGTCATGTTTTATACATGAGTTTTGGTAGTGAAGTCATTGTTAACCTGTTAAAACTATATGTAACTTTAAAACAAAAAAGAATAGATGTTTGCTTGAAAACAACTTAACTGCTTACGTAAAGCTAAAATTTTCATATGCAAAATAAATTGTCTTTAAAATAAACACAACAAAAAAATGGAATGCAACATTGTAACAATTGCCATACTGTAGGTTATACAAAAAAAAATTGTTATATTACTTTCCCTAATTCTAAGTCAAATGACATATAAAATTAAATATTCAAATACTTTCATTCATTAATTATACATGGTTTACAACTGTACTCTGACCAAATCACTGTGATAATTGCTAAATACATTCAAAAATGGATAAGTGAGATTTTTCTTGCTTATACAGGTTATTCTCTAACCCGCAGTTATCCAGATTGACTGTCCTTATGTTGTGTTTCAGATGAATTAAGACAGAAGTGTAAATTATTGTTACTTTCAGGACTAATTAAGTAGTGATAAGACTAAATGTTGGCTTATATTGGTTATTTTGTTGCCGTGTTGGTAGCATGTTTATTATCGAGTAATTTAGGCATAAGACACTTTTTGTTCATATGCATCATCTTCATTGTAATAATCTTGATCAGCAAATGTGGTATGACGTAATTTACACCATTGTGCACCAAATCTCAATATCAATATAATAACAGTCAACACAAACATCGCCAGGGCAGCAATTGCAGGATATAGTATTAAAAAAGCCATTTTTATATATCACTCTCTCTTTCGTGTAGATCAAGATATGTCAATGGTTGCTGTGAAATTGATGGTACAACTGACTCGCTTTTACGAACCTCCTGATAATCTTTTGTTGGGTAAGATGCAAATTGGAAAGGTTGACTGTGAACTTCGATCTCGGTGAAATCAAGAGGTGGCTGACGATGTGGAGTTGCTGACCATATAGATACTATCCAACGATTACCTGCAAGTAAGAGTTATAGAATTAATAATAAAATTTACAGATAGCTTTAAAATATGGGTATTGAGGATAACAAAAGACTGAGCTACCTCTATGAAGTAGAACCAAATGTTTTCTTAAATTAAATTATTAGGTTAGTTAGTTCAGATGCCACTCCCAATTGTAACATTCACAGGCTACTGCTATAGGACAATTTATTCCCCAGTTTGTGATTGCATAACAATTTCTTAGGCTTTTGTTTGATGATTATTGAATGATGTTATACATTTATAGAGGTTGTCTGAATGGCTCCTCCTCAAATTCTAAATTATTGCACTTTTTAAAATAATATTTAGTAAGCTTAAAATAATTAGGAATATTCAATTCATCATTAAAAATAAAGTAAATATGTAAGTTTTTGTATATAAACAATTTAACATAACAAGTTTACAATAACAGAAGCACTAACCGGTGTGACGATCTAGCCAATAATCCGAGTACTTCGAGCAGCAGCAAATAATATTTAGTATTATCATAAATGTCAATAGTATTGTACAGATCGCAATCGTAATATAAAATGGTGTAAAGTCACCAATTATTCTGGTCGTTAACGGGTTTAAATCTTTATATGTGCCGTTCTCTGTAAAGTAACCGTGACTTTCATATGCCGACATTTTCTTATTAGTAAAAGTTCCGACCTGCCGAAGAAAAACACCAAGTCAAGAATTTAAAACAGACTGTTTCTGAATTTTAAAATATATTTGGCCATGCATTTATAACGTTTTCCAAAGTTCGGTGACCATTAATTTAGGGCGTGGACCATAGTCTACTTTCGTAGTATGTAATGTACTCTACAAGATTATCCTTACGTATTTACTTATTCTTTTAAACTATTGTAAAACAGAAAAGTAATTCTTAAAAGAAACACGTACCTATAAGTTAAAATTTGATCGAAAAACCGTTTTCTACGTACAAACAACGACGCTAACTTATTCAATGATTACGTACCAACACCAACTATCCAAAAATATATGTCAAATGTCAAACAGTTAAACAATGTCAAAGTCACCCCACAGCGAGAGATACCAACACAATGATAAAAAAGGCAGAATAAATGGAAATGGAATGTTTTGTAGATTTCAGCATAGCGTCAAGAAAATTTATTAAAACAGGAATCAGAAAACGGGAGGAAGAGCTCTGTCGAAAAGATTTAATTTAAAACACTGTTTCCTAATAGTGTACACGGCGGCGTTAAACAAAAAAGTAGCGTTATTATAATATATTGTAGGCAATTTAATGTTGAAATTAAAAGTATTTCTTTGCAATCTTTTAAGTTTATTTCTTTATAAAATTAAGTGCGATAATACAACCACTCGTATAAAAATTTGAGATTGCTATCGTCTCATTGAAAAAAAATTGGTATACAGTGATATACCAATTTTTCTAATGTCCATATCCGGAAATAGATTTCCGTTCTATTCCTTTCCTTTTCCTTCCTTACTGTCAATGTCAATCGAATTGAATGCGTCAATCGAAGCGATGGTGTGAAGTAGTTTTTTATTCTTTTCTACTTTTTACTGCATATTTATATCCAAGAATAGAATATTGCTAATTTGCTCTTTTTCCATCTCTTGTTGCGATGTTCGATGAAATAACTAACATTTTCTGGTACCATTAATCACGACATCATTCAATATTGTACACAAAATTATTCATCATGTTTTCGTCTAAAATTCATTAAAGTAATTGTTGGGAAATAGTGACAAATACATCGTCGCGATACATTTTTTCAAAATGAATTTCGAAAATAGTTCTAGTAGTGGCTATGTCACAAACGAGACCATATATGGGACTCACGAAGATTCCCATGCCGTGATGTCAGAAAAGGTGCAATCTCTGGCTGGCAGTATTTATCAAGAATTCGAGCGTATGATTGCCCGTTACGATGAAGATGTTGTCAAGACATTGATGCCGCTGCTTGTTAACGTCTTGGAGTGCTTAGATTCTGCTTATCAGACTAATCAGGAGCATGAAGTGGAGCTGGAGTTGCTGCGGGAGGATAACGAACAGCTGGTGACGCAGTACGAGCGCGAAAAGGCAGCGCGGAAGCATTCTGAACAAAAAGTAAGCCTCCAATACTTTTCTATCTAAAGACCTTGATTCAATTTCCTTTGTTTCATTTCACAAGGCTGTTAGTGCAATTTTAGTTCATTATTTGACTTTAAACATGAAGAATGTATTATCTGTTGTTTGTGAAATTACATACAATTTGTGATAAATATTTAAGTATGTGCCATCCATTTTGCTACATGAGAATCAAGGTAAATGAGTATAACTTAGGATTTTTAATATTTTTGGGGAAATTTTGTTTTTAATCTAAAAATATTTAAAAAAAAAACTAAAATAATTGTGAGGTAGTCAGATTTTTGCATTGGGAATAATGGTTGTTCCTGTACTGATTATAGACCTTACTTTAATACTTTTGTACGCAAATATTTTATTAAATATTGTGCAAAACTGAAATCATATTGTTGCATTAGCATTGTCTGTAAACAAAAAAGCATGTACCATAAACATAAACTTGCCTGTTACTTATATTTTTGTAAACGTGAAGCTTAAAATGACTGTTACATACAAACATATTGTATGAAAAGCCATTTAAATTTTTATGTTTTTAATCATTACATTATGGGATTTATTTAAATGTAGTCGTGGTAGTGTTAAAAGTAAGTTTTTTTTCCTTCCAAAAGTTTCCAATTATGAACATATTTTGGATATAGACATCAAAAAGCATTTGTATCTTTTATCCTTCTACATTTAATGAATTATTATTAAATAAATAAACATTTGATACTCCTACATACCTCCAAATGCAGTGTCAAGTACAAAAATTGAAATAGTTGACACAGGATACTGTTTATTTATCTATAATATTTGCTATTGTTCAATAGCTCCTTGAAGCTGAAGACCATTTTGAAGGTGAAAGAAAAGATCTAACTGGTCGTTTGGAGGCATTAGACAGTATAGTGCGTATGCTGGAATTAAAGCACAAAAACTCCTTAGACCATGCCAGTAGGCTGGAGGAAAGGGAGAATGAACTAAAGAAAGAGTATGCAAAACTTCATGAGAGATATACTGAGTTATTTAAGACTCATATGGATTATATGGAACGCACAAAACTGTTGCTTAGTACTGCTGCCAATGAGCGTGGTGGAGAAGTTCGTGGTCGGATCAATCTCAACAATGTTAGCCGATCAAGTGGTGAGGATTTCATTTTATTGTTAATAGAAAATATACAAATCACTCCATCATTTATTTTAATTTAGCATACAGTTTGTGGTAACACGTCTTTTTAGCCTTCTAATTGGATTTTAAATACTTATAAGTAGTGAAATTGGATTATTCCCAAAATTTAGCAAGCAATCTTACTTAGTAATGTTAAAACACTTGGTTTTTGTGATAATTTTAGCAGCCTTAGAAATACTTGAAACCTAATATTAATTATGCTAAGATAATAGAAAAAGATTATTAACAATATCCTGTTTATAATTATTTTACTTAATCAGTAACATTTCTTAAGGGCCTATGTCTTTCGGGTTTGCTTCGCTGGAAGGTTCAGTGAATATTGTGGAGCAAACGGAGAGTATTCCCGGAAGCCCTGTGAGCCTGTCTTCCTCACCACCTTCACCGCCAATCGGATCTGAGCTAGCAGCTGTTCGGACTGCTGAACAAAGTCATCAAACTGATCCCATCAGGCAACAAAGTCAAGTAAGTATATTGCTTTTAATGTACACATGGACATTGCAAGACAGTATTTTACTGTTATAATCTGACTAATGTTATAAATGTGAAAGATTAGATGGACAGATGGTTGTTTGTTTCAAGGTATTTCCGGAAAGGCTGAAATTTGGCACACATGTAGAACATCCGGAAGAACACATAGACTACTTATTAATTCCGCGCGGACGGAGTCGCGATTGACAGCTATTTTTTTATAATGGCCAGTGCAGAATATTAAAAAGACTTTAAATGTGAGACGTTTTAGTGTAACACGTGACACACTTCAGTTTTTTTTATTTGATTAATAATCTGTTACACTTTTCGTACAAATATATATACAGAGAATACAAAATTTTATGTAAATATGTAATTTAATGTGTATTCGATTTCCGTTGGCATTGAGACCTCATACACTGGAGGCTTAAACAAAGCAACAAACACGTAAAACTAAATTAATTGCACATTCGCAATAATTAAAATAACAAATAGGCGTTTGGTTTCGTCTTAGTTACTTAACAATTGAAGTCCAAATTGCAAGAGCATATAATATATAAGATATTTGAGCTCTGTTTGTTTTATTGCAACCATCCTTGTTGCATTCGCAAGATAATGAATAATGAATGTTGTTAAATTTTGATAATTCGCAATTTTCTCGAGGCTCATGTTTGTATGCGCACTCTCTTATAATTGATATATCGTTGTCTGGTGTGAACAACTGGACTTGTGATATTAGACGACAAACAGGGCTTTGGTCACTTATATTCACGCATTCTTTCAAATGCTTGCTATCGAGGTTGTAAGAAAAACAGCCTCTATTAAATGTTGTTGTACACTGATAGCATTTTAATGCCCATAATTGTTTGCACATAAGAATTATCGTCACTAACATAAAATTATATTTCATTTTAGTGTTTAATTCAAATTAATATAGTGACAAATATGTCAAGTTTTTTTTTACATTTTCTTATTACAGAGATATTCCGATCAAATAGTTTTTATATGTATTTTTTTAAACTTAACTGCCAAATTAAAAAATCTTATTCCGGTAACAGTAGAGGTAATATCTAAGTAAATAATAATAATAAATATGAAATATCCTAGGCTACATCGCCAGTGGCGCCGCAAGCCAGTACCGGCCGATCCCACACTAAGAGCGAAAAGAGAAGTGCCAACACACTATACCAAGAGTTGGCTTTCCAAGATTCAGATCCGGTAGTTGAAGATGAGACTGACATTACAGGTATTTATTAAAAATCTAGCCTTATACGAAATAAAAAAAAAATGTTCAAAAAATCGTAAAAAAATCAATTTGTGTTGCAGGAAATTGGGTGCATCCCGGCGAATATGCTTCATCAAGTGAGTATTTTTTTTTCTTAATATATGCCCTTGTAAGAAATGGTTGAATGCTTTATGTTGCCAGTATACGGACTGGAAATATTTTTCTGTTACGTATTGTGCAATACTCGCATGAAACGAATTCGTTGCGAGATTTTGTAATTCCTTGTTTTGTAATTTTTATATTATTAGAGATAAGTGATTTATAATTACTAGAGCGCTCTTGAGTGATTTTATAAAAAGAAAAAATGCGAAATAAATATACTAATTAGTTGTTGATACTGCAATAAATACATAATAGGCGTAATATTTAACTTAGGTAGTTTAAATGTACATATAACAAATGTTAATTTCCGTGTACGTGTTTTTTGTGTGCATTTTTTTTGTAAATAATCGACATTTATACTTATATACACAACAGTTATAATATATTATGTATATTTAATAAAATGTTACGTTAGCAAATGTCACATTTCGTATATTGAAATTTAAAATTTTATAAATATTCCATCGTGATACCTACAATATGTTTTTGAATACACTTCAAGGGTAAATCATCACCAAAACCACACTAATGGTTGTTTGCCTCGGTTAACAACCTTAATGGGTTCACATTAGGTTATGTAAATAAATATTTATAATCGTGAGTCAAAACAAAATATTTCTGACCATTACATAACTTAGCTACATTCCACGAAATCACTTTTGTTTTTTGTTGTAATTTGATTTTGAATGTAATTTATTGTTTACGGTGCAATTAAATTAATATATTATATTATTTTATTTTTAAAATAACAACCAAAACAAACTTGTTAACAAATGATTGTGTTAAGTTTGAATGTGAATACGAAATATATGTAAATAGCTGTCATAGACAACAAGTTTTAGTATTTGCTTGATATTTAGTTGAAACATGTTCCTAACAAAACATACCTTTAAGATAAATTGCTAGTTTTACATACGTCATGTGATAATCCTGTCCTCCTACACAATGTAACATTTGATTATCATAATTAATAGAAAAGACAAAAAAGAACTGATAATAAGTTTCGATAAGTAACGTATTATTCCTATATATTTTGTCCATTTTACTAGCGAAATCTCTAATCGAATGATACTTTGTCTATGAGTTCTGGAACAATTTTATGTTATGTTGCTATGTTTTATGAAACTAATGCCTGTCCATTCTATTTTCATGCGTTCTAACCCACGTTGCATCAACCAGTTAACGACAACTACTTCGGTGAGTAACTTTTGCATGTTAAAAGCTTCACTTTGTAATTCAATTTAAGTACTTATATTGTTATAGAGGTTTATACGAGCTTGAGTGTTTTGAAATATTCTATTACATTGTTTTATATTAGTTGGACCGTTCGTGTCCTAACTTTATAGAAGACTCGTGTATTCAATATCTACCTACGCTAATCTCTGAAACCGCACAACCGTTTTAAAGAAACTTAACTGTAATAGTTATTTCGAGATTTTACAGTTCCATTCTCATTCGAAAATTTGTTCCATGTGATGTATTTTTCATGTGATAGAGTCGTTATTAAATTCTAAAGTTATACATTACGAGCTGTCGCCAGAGTCCTTCCGCGCGGTGTCGGAAAACTTGATTAGTAGCCTATGTCTTCCAGATTATGCTCTACATCTATGTCTAATTTTAGGTAGCAATACAGTCGTTCTCGAGATACCTTCAAACAAACATCCTTCAATCCAAAAATTCGCATTTATAATATTAGTAAGATTAATAAGACAGCGCGTTGATTTCTAATGACGGTCTGCTCATGTTGTTTTGCTGCATCTTAATTACTGTCAGTTTTTACATTTACACGTTCCATAGGAACACGCTAAATCCTGAATATGCTAATCTAAAAAAGTAAAGCTAAATATGAGTAATGTTTCGTCTTTAAACCAAAGTACACACGTTAGGTTATAAGTGGATTAGGAAAAATACTTATTGCCTTTGAAGGTGTCTAAGCGAACACGGCTTTCAATGAATAACTCAATTTCCTAACATATCTATTAGGTAGTATTAATAAAAAGCTGAATAAAGATTTTGTTGTATACTTGCTTTGGTCTTGTTACCTATGAATAATATCTTTGTCTATTGATCGATCGGTTTCGGCGACGCTTGCCCTGTCATCTATAAATAGCCATGTCACACTCATGTGTCCCTAATTCGATAGAACATAATCAGTCTTTTATCGGGCTTTATTTTTGGATCAGAAACGACAGAAAATTCGACTAGTTACCGTTATTTAATGAGAGGTAAAAAAGTTAATTTAAACGTGTATCGAATGTTTGGACTCAGTTTTTGTCATAAACATAATTTTGGTGAATAATACTGAAATTTGTAGAAGGATTGCTTCAAATAACTGAGCACTTAGCTAAAGCTGTACTCTTTTACAATTATAATTGATTGACTTAATGACTTAATCTTCTTAAAAACTTATATTTATGAAGGATATTAGTGGAATTTTTAACTTAAAAAAGTTAATTAAATAATTAAATAGTACAATAAATAACTACTGATTAACAAATTCATGTAGTTTTATAGACTTTACTTTTGCTTTCGTTTTGTCTTCAATTGCTTTTAACTTGCATATTTTTTTAACCTTTACTAAGTAACATGTTACTAACTTGTAATTTCCATTCTATTTTCACGCCTTCTAACTTTTGATGGTTAACGAAACAGTTAACGATAACTACTTCGGTAAGCGTAAGTTGATGTTTTTAATATTTATGTGGGAATGCAATGGCCTAACGTCTGGCTTTAACCATGTAAATATTTTTAGTAAATATTTAAATCATTCTAAAATCATTGTACTTAACTTCATTCATATGATTTTGTTTGGTTATTTATTATTTAAGTATTTTAAGCTTATGAAAGCTTGTAGAATGTATTTTTTAAGATTATTATTAATTATTTTTAAAATTAATATATTATTGTTTGGTTAACAGGCAAAGAAGTGGAGAATCTTATTTTGGAGAACAATGAGCTGTTGGCTACTAAGTGAGTTTGTTTGACATGACAGATTTCAAATAATGCTCCTAGATAAAAATTATAAAGAGATTTTTACGTTTGTGAATTTAAAATCATGACTAGCTAAGTGTTTAGTTTTTAAAGTATCTTACATAAAATAACTTGTTTATTTTAATTTTTAAAGGAACGCTTTGAACGTTGTGAAGGACGATTTGATAGTAAAAGTTGATGAATTAACCGGCGAACAAGAGATACTGAGAGAGGAGGTTGCCAATCTGAATGCGGCAAGAGAAACCTTGAGAGAGCGCGTCAATCAACTGGAGGATGAACTCAGGCGTTTGAAAGTGAGTTAGAATAAAATTATTCAATCGGACTGAGATAAATATCTAGGAAATATATTTTGGCGTTTTAATTGTCATTAATATTAATAATTATTTTAATTTAATCCAGGAAACTGTCAGCTCTACCACAAGTGGGGATAATGAAGACGAAGCTGATGTTCCAATGGCGCAAAGAAGGAGATTCACTCGAGTCGAAATGGCACGAGTCCTTATGGAAAGAAATCAATACAAGGTATGCAAATTGTCTGCTATGTATATTTCCTTTAACTAAAATATCGTTGGTAATAAAATTTCAGAAAATACTGCTCTAAATAATACTAAAAGGAATGGCGAATGATCTGTTTGAAGCACTTTTTGACGGTTTAGAAAAATGAATGCCTTATGAATCAACTATATTAGTTTAAAAATTCTTTATACGGATAACCAGTCCTTTTAATGTTGTCACTAAGTTGACTTTATTACTAACATTAGGATTAATTTTTAATAACTTAATTAGCCTACACTTAAGACTATATTATGACGATTTCAGGAACGTTTCATGGAATTGCAAGATGCTGTGCGCTGGACAGAGATGGTGAGGGCGACCCGCGGTGACGCCACCGCCGGCAAGAAGAGTAAACAGAGCATCTGGAAGTTCTTTAGCAATCTACTCAAGTAAATATATATTTTTCTTCTTCTCAGTATTATTTGAATACTAACTACTAACTCCAAAGTTAGCGTTTGCATTTTCGCCTGCGGCTAAGCGTATATTTTTATATTTCATGCTGAATATTTTGTTATTTTCTCAGAACAAATCCATGTAAATTGTAAATTTTGAATACATAAAAATGTTTAATAATTGAAAAAATCAACGGCTTTTAAAAACTGCTGAGCGATACTTCTATGCATTTGATTTAAAACCAAATGATACTTATATATCTTTAGGCATTTATGCGACATTAGCTGTGGCTTGTGACTTTTTCCGCGAGGAATTAAACGTAATTAATATCCTATGTATGCCAAATTTCAGTGAGATCCATTCAGCGGTTCTGGAAATACCTTCAAACAAACATCCATCCATTTAAACATTAACATTTATAATATTAGTAAGAATTGTTATTAAATTTAGGTTAATACTAGGTTTATGGATAAGTAATCAGTGTTAGAAAATATTTCGTAAAAAAAGAAGATTCAAAATAATTATGTATATGTACAAGATATTTTACAGTTTATTATAATTTTTAAACGGGAAATAAATATAGAATAAGAGTTACTTTTAATTTATGCCGTGAACTTTTTTTTATATGTAATTACGATACAATTTGCGAATTATTTGAATCCAGTAATCATTGCCAGTCGCATATATACCTTTTTTCAAAATATTTATAAACTAAATTCAGTCAAAGTTTTCTGTTACCTTAATTTGGAAAAGTAAAGGGTACAAGATGAAACTCTTTTTTAATTTTTTTCATATATTATGAAGCGACTCTATGCATGTAAATTTGGCGAATAAATCCTATTTTGGTATTAGAAATTAAGAGCATTGCAATGTGATTTTTATAAAGGTATTTACATTAACATTGTGTTTTCAGTTTAATATATGTAGAACATTTTCTGTTGCTGTGCGATGTTGCAATCATTTGCACTGGTGAAATATTTACATTATAAGGGAAATTGGACATTTTTGAACAATAAGAATCTAAATTTCTAAATGATGATTTAAATATTAAAGAATACATCGTATAATTTAAAAAACGTTGTAAACTCTAAAATCTATGCAGAAATAAACATTTTAAACTGTACTAGTTATCTCAAGATTTACTTCAAATTAGAGCATTTTTGATGGCATATGATATTCGTATGCTTAAAATATTGAAGCCTATATATAGTAAGAGATATACAGATATACTTTTAATATGTTGATATATATATTTCCAGTCCGAGCGAACGTCCGCAGCGCCCTCTATCGACGCCGCACCTGCGTGCAGTGACGGCACCACAGCCGGCGTTACGTCATTCCCGTACTCAGGGAGATTTCCTTGAGACTCAGCTCACTGACCAGCATCATAGACGACAGGATAGGAACGAACAGTTCCGGCAGGTAAACTTATAATACTATACTAGTGCTTGCCTTTCGGTTTCGACAATAAATCATAAAAGATTTTTTTTATTTAAGATTAAAAATAATTTTATACACTTAATTTCCAATTAACTTTTAAGGTTAATTTAGAAAAATCGGAATCTTACGAACAGTCGACAGTCTCTTCAGAGCAAGACAAATGTATTAGAAATACGTATGTCTCGTTCTGAAGCTGAACGTTTTTCCGGATTGTCTAATTGAATATAACTGGGGATAAAATTTACGTTCATTCGATCTCGAGATTTCCTTAAAAGGGTTACTTACAAAGTATTTCTATTATGATTTAAATAAAATAAGGCGCTATTACTCGAATACCTGGGATCAGAGAGCTTGAATCATTAATGGTATTGTAAAATATAATTTTGAATGAATTTTGATAAATTTGGAGCGTTTTTCTAGATATGCAAGAACATATAGGTTACTTAATCTATCATTTCGCGATATGAACACCATGGCTAGAGGCCATTTTTGTTTCGCAAAAGAGTATTTTCTCTTGACACATTCCATACAACATTTTTTCCTCACTAAAGTGAACTCAAGACAAGTTGGTGGCAATTAAAATGTAAATAATTTTAAAGCCCTATTTCTATTGTCTTCGTCCTAATGCATATATATCTTTAATAGGTGCATATTAAGAATCAAAATGGTGTACATTTCACTAAAAACTCACTTTAAATAATGTAGTCTTCCAGTACCTAATGTAATATCTTGCTTTTGCTTATTACTCATTGTGATTGCCTTTGAATCATACATAATATTCGATTAATCCTACGTAAATAATCGTATCGTACATTTTAACAATTTTCACAATGTTTGAATTTATAAACCCATAGTTGTATTTAAAATAAAATAAAAAAAAAATAACTTTTGTTTATCGTAATTTAATTTTCCATGTAGACAAATTTTATTAATAAAGTTTTAAGTTTTATGGAGTAAATTAAAGGTTTAAACATACGATTATTTACGTGGGTATCATCGAAGTTTGTGTGTTTTCCTTCCCTTTGCATAATTCCAAATCCTTTCTGTTTTCAGTTGAATCAGTGAGTGCAACTTATTAGATCAGTAAATTGAACTAGACATTGTGATATTTAAGAAGTTTTTTTTTTAATTAGGAGCTCAAGTGTGTTGTTCATATGATTCTTAGCTAATATTGTAGGTACAAATTTTTATGTAGTTTTTATTTCATATGTTTACAATTTTATGTATACATTTTGTATTGTCTCTTAAATAAAATTGGGTTTTGTTTGTATTTTATGTTTTTATTATATTTTCACTGTTTTAATCTTCGTTATGCTACAAGCTAGACCTTTCATAAGTACATTAACATCATTGCCTTCAAATTAACATATCCCTTTTCTTTCTAAATCATTCATTAAAAAAATCACCTCGTTTATCATCACATTAAAATTATAATAATGGGTTTTAATCTGCATACTCAGATTTAAATATAATAAAATATAGTAAGTGCCAAATTTACAGGCACTTCAAAATTAAATTATAAAAATGGCGTCATATAAAATTGTCCTTATTCATAACGTCCACTTTTGTAACCACTTATTAAAAAATCAGATGTCTTAGAGCAGCTGTTGCTTCGCTATTTCGGCGAAGTAGCCGCAAACTAGTTTGCCCCCTTATAATACATAAAAAAATTAGCAATGTGCATTGGCAACATATATCTTATTTTATTATATACTATGTGCATAAGATGATATGCATATGCAGAATATTATGAAGTAAGTATAGTCCGATATATGAAATGATGACTCGGTTATTTGCGGATGAATATATAGGAACAACTTTATTTAATATTAAAACTATAAAAAGACGTGAAAGGTGCACCTAAATATTAAGTATATATTCTACATCAATATAGTGGAGAGAAAAAGGGAGTCGTAATCTTATCACTAAATATTATGTTTATTTGAGCAGTAATTGTTTGCCAGCTTCTGTGTCCCGGGATATGTTAAGTAAAAAGTTAGCAATGAATGGATGTTATATATTATATATATCCATTAAGTTGCCTTACTTATTAGAATTGGAAGGGACAAAAATTGACAATAGTATCGACGTTTAGGTGCGGGCTCACGTGCGCAAGGAAGACGGTCGCACTCAAGCTTACGGCTGGAGTCTGCCTGGGAAGAGTGTGCAGGGACAGAAAGGTCCGAGTGTTTCCCTCTCATCAGGAGGCGTGCCTGTACCAGTGCCTATATTCTGCAGGTATGTTTAAATTCAAGAATAAGCTTTCAAGGAATGAAAAGAAACCATACGATCGGTCCATTACGATTTTTTTCTAAAACGAAAATTTACTATTCATGGCGCTAGGATATTTTTGCATGAATGAACATCTTTCTCCTTTCTTTTTCATATTTTTAACAAAAAAAACTAAAACTATCTAATTTTTGTTTAGACCCATAGCAGAAGGCGAGCCTCGTATGAGCCTGCTCTGCGCTGCCGGTGTCAACTTGAACGGAGGACGCACGTCTGACGGTGGCTGCATGATCGGTGACAGTGTCTTCTATCCAAATGACAGCGAAGAAGATAATGATGACGAACAAAACACCATGTGCTTAGGTAAACTATGATTAATTGTCCCGCTACTCCCACCCCGAGGAACTATTATAAATAACTAAATTTATTCTTATATTCTATGTATTCTTCCAGGCTATGTTCTATGTATATGCCAAATTTCAGCGAATTACATACATGCAAACATTCGTATTTGTATATAGGTATTATAACTAACTATTGTCTGTCGATAGAAAATATCACATTACACTTAATTGCCTTTATTTTTTGTATTAATAATGTTTTTATCCACAGCATATGAGATGAATAAGGCGGAATCCGTTCACTCGGCTGAAATAAATCAGATCGATCAACAGCTGCAGTCAACTCGTGCTCCCGAGCACTCCGACAGATATCTATCCTCTCTCGTTTGGATATGCGCTAGTACCCAGAATGATGGGGTTGTTATGGTAAGATTTATACCAAAAATATGAAACATTTGATTAAAAAGAAGTTGCTTATATTTCCGTGTGTTAGCTACCTTCAATGTCCCGTCAAAATCGATCCAGCCGTTCCGTAGATTACCCGGAACAAACGCGATCTTGTGAACAGACAGGCAGACACACGATTAAAAGTTTTGAATATTGGTTATATAAATTTAAAAAGTTTGTTTTTTCTTATCAACTACGCATAAACATTTTTTTATCGTTGTTACACACAGACACTCCAGTTATATTAATATGTATAAATGGAGATACATGATGTTAATGTCGATTATATTAATGAAGTATTTGTATTTTTCCAACTAGATTATTGACGCAAACAATCCAGGGTCAGTGCTTGAGACATTCACTGTACACGAGAAGCACATTTTGTGCATAGCTTCAGTGCCAGGAGCCACAGATGAGGACTACAGGGAGTTCAAAGAACGCGACGCTGAACTTAAAAATGGAAAGGTAATCACACAAAATACAAATCTTTTTCATAGATGTTAAACAAACCTTTTAATAACGAAGTGTCTTAATGGCGAACCTTGGTATATCTATTGTTTGATTGGGGATTAATAAGTCGGTCTGGGATATCAAGAGAGATAAAAAATAAAAAGGGATAAAGGTCGAATTCAATAGAAATTATATTTATACATATCACTGGCTAACAATGTCATAGTCTATAGATTTATTTTGGAAAGTTTTTCAATTGATGTTACCAGCTTTTTTTTAAACTTTATGATGTTATTATTTCCCATTTCTATGAAATTCGATTAAATATTTCCCCTGCAGTTTGACACGTATTTAATTTTTTAAATGTTAAGTATGTCTGCATAAGTTTTAGTACATTGATAATAGATTAGATAAACCGGCAGGTTATAACATGGGAAAGGGACTTTGTTTTAATTTTAGATTTTTAAATTTTGTTATAGCCACAATTTCATGGTCCGGAAAAGGAAGAAGATGAAAATGGGGAGAAGAAAATTGTTGTTGGACGTAGAATGATGGTGAGTACCTTTTTAGATCAACAATGTTGGTAGGCTAGTCTCAGTTCCTTTTCCTATATCCATGGATATCAAACAAGATTAATCCTTTATGTATTTAAGTATTTCTCTTTTTATATTCATTTTTCTATTAACTTTTTCGTAATATTTTTACACTTTTTAAATTACATATTTTTAAAACACAGGGCCTTATCTTTGAACATAGTTTTTTATATCTCAGTAAAGATAATATCTCTTTCAGGTGAAGTCTACTCTACTTTCTCCTTCTGATACTCCGGTGAAAGAGAAAAAGGAGAACGAAGATAAAGATGCTGAGGAAACTGCATCGACTTCTCACAGCCCGCCTCTTAGTTCTACACCTATTAATAATCCAAGTAAGCAATAATTAGTTTCATTTAAAAAACGGGTTCATTTTTCTAAATTTATCAAACTTTGTAGTATGTCACAATGAAATTAATTTTGACCCAAGTTCTAAAAATGATACTATGATGCTGGCCTTATTATTTATCTTTGCTTACTAAATTATGTTCTTTATATTAACAGTCTTAAGGTTAAATATCAAATTGATTCATTTATGTGTTTTGTTCTAGTTATTGAGGTGCCCGAGGATGTACCGGAACAAGGCGTCGCCGCGTACGATGATGAGGAGATTGAGCCTCCAAGCCCCGTATTTGAACCTAGAACTTGTACAATAATGGCGACCATGTGGCTCGGCACTAAAAGCGGCAAGCTTTATATTCATCCAGCGCTCTTTGATTACAAGAAATGTATCACCATGTAAGATTATATCAAAAATAATAGGTCCATTTTAATAGGTCACATTTGACATTTCATCCAAATCCAACAACGTAACGTTGTAACGACGGTCATAATTTTTTTAAGTTCTGCATAATTGCTTACCTTTCAAATTTAGGTTACATATTTATTGTAATCGTGTCAATCGAACGTCGTTACAATGTTTCGTCAGTGAATTATTTTTCTTTTTAAACACTGAGAATGTTACAAAGTGATATTTCTTAACTAAACTCGATTCAAATGTTGACGCTAAAATTAATAGATGTCAAAAATTGCCTATTAAATTATACCACGTAATTATTCACTCTGATCTTTGTGTTTTAAATAACTTTTTTTTCTTCGTTACAGTGTGAAGATGAATGACGCGATACTTTCAATTGTGTCCTGCTATTCTCGTTGTTTGGTCGCGTTGGCTGATGGTACGGTCGCCATATTTGCTCGTGACGGCACTGGCCAGTGGAATTTCAAGGAGTACTTGGTGGTCACACTAGGAGACCCTAAATGTTCAGGTATTTAAATAAAATCTATTATATATTATATTATAATATTTCATAATTATATTTGGACTTGTTTCTTAAACTGACATATGTCTTTCAAAGAGAATGTAGAACGGGGAAGAGAGGTCCTATATTGTTTTTTTAAACAACTAGGCAGTAAGAAGGTCTTCTATTGTTAAGTGACAGTTGGTCATAGACATCCACAACAATATTTTAAAAGATGTTACATAATTTTTTATTATCGTAAAAAATAAACTGAAAAAATTATATTCTTTTTTTACCTGTCGCCTCTCATCATTGAGTCTACCATGAAGTTCGTATATAATTCCACTACAGACGTGTTTGTGCAATGTTGGTAATGTAATTAATATAATTATGTTGGTAGTGCGTTGTCTTTGCGTTGTTGGCAACACTGTGTGGTGCGGGTATCGCAACAAGGTGCATGTAGTGGAACCCCGCACCGGTATGATCGTGCATAAGCTTGAAGCTCATCCCCGACAGGAGAGTCAAGTGCGCCAGATGGCTTGCGATGGAGACGGAGTCTGGGTAAACTGGAATTATACTAAAATTAATATTTACTAGCGAAAAACTTAACAAAAATTTGTCTACCCTCCTTTTTCAAATAAGATGGCTTTATGTTATAGTACAATTTTTTTCTATTATACATTGGAAACTAATGTTAAATATTAAAATACAAAATAATAATAAAAAATTACGGTGAATATAACTTTACAACCAACTTATTGTCACTAATTAATTAAAATTATATAGGTATCCATTAAAATGGATTCCGCGCTGCGCCTGTACCATGCGCATACTTATCAACACCTACGTGACGTTGACATCGAGCCTTACGTCAGTAAGATGCTCGGCACTGGAAAGCTGGGCTTCTCCTTCGTCAGGATTACTGCGCTTCTCATCAGTACAGGTCGGCTCTGGATCGGTACCAGCAATGGTGTGGTCATCTCTGTACCATTGTCAGACACGCAGGGCTCCAGCCGCGACTCCAGTGGTGGCACCGTACGGTCCTCTACTATTGCTACATCAGGTAAACACCACTTTGTAGTCGAATTTAATAATAATTACAGAGATAAATAATATAGAGACAATATTTTTCTTTTACTCTAAATTACCAATCAAACAATCCATCTCTCAGTTTATAATCATGTATACAAATGTAAAATTACTTAAATTTCAGCTACAGGCCGTGTGCGACCGGATTCAACAAGTCCGACCGGTTCTATCCCGTGGTGTTCCATGGCACAAGCTCAGCTAAGCTTCCACGGGCATCGGGATGCGGTCACCTTCTTCGTAGCTGTTCCTGGCAACGCCAACTCTCCCACCCGCACTCCTGATTCACCGCAGAAGACTGAAGAGTCGCCGCAAAAGACCGCTTCACCGCCAATGCTGGTGATGTCGGGTGGTGAAGGATATATCGACTTTAGAATAGGTAATTACCATTTACATACCACTGTAATACTATCATGCACTAGTCCACCCAAACTTTTCTCGTACAGACATATGAAACATAAATAAATACTATAATCAAACAAGGATATCTGTCCTGGTGACAAGCGTTGCTATCGCGGGTAGCTCTGACGTAAAATATAAAAAACACTTAGGCACAGAAAATGCCACGAAAATAGTAAAAAAAAACATATTTTTATTAGTGTAATTTTCTATTAGTCATGTCTTTTCTTTTGATACCCATGTAGGAGTGGTAGTGCTAAAACATGTCATCCGCCATTTTGTAATGACAGCCATCTTGAATTTACAATGAGCAAGTACAACAAGAATCTTCTAATATTTTTTTAAAGAGAATGAGTGGCGCTAGTGAGCTATCATATTAAATTTCACTTATGCCCACCGACGGATAGATATCTTTGTCGTTCGACAGGCACAAAATTCAATTATCAACGAAAGTAAGTATATATAAAAAAAATTATGGAATACATAGATTATTTACCATAGACAAACAATGATATCCAATGCCAAAGTTCTAGGACTTCCATTTATTTTACATTTTAGTTCTAAGACTAAATTATTATTTTAAGACGAACAAGTTTAATGTGATTTTAAAAATGAAAAGCAATATGCACTAAATTGCAATGCAATAATAACTTGATTATTGTTTTTATTTTTTTTACGTGAATTTATAAAACCATTTCACATAGTCCAAGGTGTTTACAAATCGCTTTAACCAGCATTACTTTAAGCCGTTATTAACATAATTCGCAAAACGACGAAAAAAAGACAAGTTAAAACAACTAGGTCTGTAAGACTAGGAAGAATTACAGGCACACTGAGTTTTAAAAAATTGATTTAAAGTTTAAAATCATCTTACTCACTCAATATAATATTACATTTTTCATTAAAGCTTTTATATATTATTCAATACAAATATTGCATATTATATAATAAAAAAACTTTCGCTTGTTATATTTTGGAGGAATTGTAGAAATTAGAAAACACGACCATAATATAGAGCAGGCTTTTCGCATTTAAATAACATCAAAAATGACAATATTGGTTTAAAATATACAAAGCTTTTTGTTTTAATGATTTTTATAATAACCCGCATTAACCTTGGCTTAGTTGTGCCTATTTTTATAACTTTTTTTTTTGGCTTTTCCCATCATTATTTATATATTTTTATTGACCATTAGAAGATCATGGCGATGACCCGGACACAGGCTCCCACCTCATAGCTTGGCAGGTACTAGGCCAACGCTGAACTTACCTGTTACAATATTAAGCAAAAACTTGACACTATGTATGAAACGGTACGTCTTTAGTTTGAATATTGACACAATGAGTATTGGCGCTTGGGACACATTGTAATACAACTAATTTTTACAATATAAGCTAAACTAACTTCTTATTGACATGCATTAAGCACACTTTAACACGTTCAGTGCTATAGAATCGACAGACGTGTCCATCATAGTGGCATAGAACGTGTTAAATCATTGCTTTATTTTATGAAGCTTTAAGCCTGTATTATAAACTGTCTAACATAAAATGGGTGAAGGTTTGATATATATTCTTATTAACATCATTATTGTCACCTGGACATGTATTTGGTTCTCGTTCGTTCTATAGTTTCATTTCTTTACATTATTTCATGTTACTTTTTATATCTGCCAATGTGTATATTGCTAATCATGTTTTATTAAATATACTGTTTTTTATGTACAAAAAAGTATTATGTAAAATGTGTTTATATTTATTGTTCATAATATTGTTGATAGTTTACGTGTACTTTGATGTTTTAAATGGTCGCTAATTGTTTTTAAACTATGTAGATATCGTAACGTAATAACAATTAACATGAGTATTAAAAAATGAATTAGTTAACAGAATTAAAAATAGAAGTATTGTGATATTTGTTAAATTTGGCAAATAAAAATTGTATTTTTTTAATTAAATTACATAACTTATTTGTTGTTAAAATCTTTTCCAGCCGATTCAGAAATGGAGGACAGCGTGGTGGTGGCCGAGGACGGGTCCAGTGGGCACAGCTCTCTTGCTGAGCGGGCTACCAAGAGCCACTTGATAGTTTGGCAAGTAGCAACCGCCTAACGTGAGGCCTGCCGTCCTCGCTTCGATTCCGAGTCAGATTACGTGTACGTATGCACGTCCACCAAACCAGCGACCCCTTACAACGCGTAAGTCGCTACAGTGAATAGGCCGTCTTATACTGGCGATGTGTTTTACAAATTTCATAATTTAAATCAAATAATTCACTTAACATTTTTAATTAGTACTTTCTAGTCATGGGTAAGTCAACTAAAATTGATGACTTGCAAATCAGCTCACAGTTCACACGTGACAAGCGGATCAGTGAACCGGATCACAATTTAGCTCAATATGTATCTGTAGAGTTATTATTGACGTTCTGGTAAACTGTGAGTAAGGAGGAAGCTCTCGGCTTGACTACTTATAGTACTTCACGATGAGCTGTGAGCTGCTGTGTTTAGTCGTTGAACCGCAGCTCATTTATTGAATCGATACAAAACTGATTAACACATGACTAGTACATTCATAACATTCACATCACCAGTAGTTTGGACGTTTAAAGCGATTTTTGTAGTGATGCATCATAATACAAAGTTGATTAATTTTTAATAAAGTTGTACACGAATTCAAATTTCTAATTCTTATAATGTTGAAATATTTTTTACCTGCAAAAATCACTACCTATTCACAGATTTAACTGATTTTATTAATATACGATAACTGATTGTGATGTATATTAATAATTGAGGTTAAATAAACGCCGAATTGTTATTCACACGAACGGCGCATTCTGACTCCGACGATATAGAAGCAGTGCACGGCACCAAAAGGACTTTTAAAACACAGTTTTACATATTATTCACGATATATGTGTGCTTCCCATAGCTATTGTGTACCTTATCGTAGAATACAACTGCCATGACACTTGGAATAATTATCCTGTATGCAGTAAACGGCATTATTTCGCCAAAATATCGAAGTACTGCTAACATCTTGAAGATATGATGCCTACATTTAAAAAGAAGGGGATGCACATTATGAGAAATTTTCCCTTCTTTAGTAATTATTACGCAAAGATGAAAAAGAAGTTATTATTTCAAATGTCAATGCAGTGAAATTCTGCGCTTATCGCTTACTCGTATAGTGTTTTTTGTATAAGATATCAACGTATCAAATATACCAATCGTATAGTTTTTAAGCTTTATCTCATCTAGTAATAATGTACAACATGTAACCACCAAATAAAACATTTTTGTAGTGTTATTAAGTTAATCTAGAATTAAGATATCTCAAGGTAGGAATTTTCTTACCTGTTTTTAATTTGGGCTGTGGTTATTATCTGCAACACAACATTGTTTAGTTTTATTTTAATTTAAGATTATACTTGAAGTGATGTTATTTAAATTTGTCATATTTAATAGAATTAAGTTTTTTTTGTCGTTTATTTTGCTATATAGAGTTGCTATTTCAAAATATTGTAAGGAAAATAAATTTTCAAATTTGGAAATTTGTATGAGATTAATCAAAAAATAATTTCATTTATTTATAAAATGACGATAATTTTTAACAAAATTACTAAACACTAAATAATATGATAGATTTATTTTTATATAGCAACTCGTATTTTCCATAGCACGTTTTTGGTTCATCGCTTTATTTATAACCAATGGTGCAAAATTAATTTAAGTTTTATTTTATTTAATGAATTATCGCCGTGCTATAAATAAGTAATACTTTATACATAGAATAATTTATTTATTTAGTTAGAAGACATTTTTTTTTAATTTAAAGGTAATATTTTAGTCGATTAACCATTAACAAAGTCTAATAGAAGCTGGTAAAGGCATTGAATGATATAAATTAAATAAAAGAACATTTATTCCAATATTTTAATCTCAATTACAATTAGGTATAATTTCGCTGGAAGAATGTTTTCGTAATTACGAATATTCATTTTCAAAATCTATAAAAAAATCTCAACCAACTCGTTGTCTTTGTTTTGAAAAACCACGTTTGTTTTGGTTATGTCTAATTCAATACAGATAAGAAATTATAAGAAATCAAACAATTTAACCTCTATAAGGCTGTAATCATAGACTTAGAAAACGATACGTTTGTGTCATCAATTCAAATAACCATAGACATAAAATGATATTGTCAGCCAATGTGTGTTTATAAAATTTATCATTACAATTGAATTCCAGTGAAAACTAACTCTTACATTTGGAGAAATAGAAGAATTTAACACATAAATATGTCTCGTGCGAACCAAAAGACAAGTAATAGTAATATGTCTGAAATTTAAGTCAGTAATTGTTTTTTGCCCTTTAGTAATGTCATTTAACGAATTTGACTTTTTGAACAGATACAAAATGCCTTTTCACCAGCGTTTCTTCAAAGACCTAGTCAGAATGAAACGATTTAGATGTTACGAATAGGTAATATTGCTAACTATAATAGATTTACTGAATGTTTACTAAGTTTGCTTTACGTCTAACTGGATGACTGCAGTGACAATATTGATACATTGGTCATCTCTTTCATTATCTTTGGAATAACAGAGACAACTATATGTCAATGTGTGTCACTACAATTGAAAGTCACAGCAAAAAATTGCGGGCATTATTATGGTAAGAATTGTGTGTGTTTGCTGCTAAATAAAAACATGTTTCCAGAGAGACTGAGGCACATAGAACATGTTTTCTGTGTGTTTTGGAAAAGTAAATGCATTTTTTATGAATTGTTGACATTAAACATGAATTTAGAACATTCACACTAAAATGTCTTGCCTTTCTTCACCATAATGATGGTGATTAAGCGAGTGACATTTGGAAAGAGATAGTAAGGCATAGTCAAGATAGTTGTTTACACATTATTTCTTAATCAAATTAGACGAAATGCTTGCAATATCAACCAAATACTATAATTATATAGGTATAGAGATATTGTTAACTTTAAATACTTTTATTTTGATTATTAAAATTTACTTTATACTTTTTGTACTTATATCACAGTATGAAATTTTTTTTATTTCTTTTTAAATTTTACCTTTTTAACAAATTTATTTGAAAGTAAGAAGTTTTAGTTATTGTATGTCCGTGTACAAATACAGTTTATAGTAATTTTGTTGGCAACTTTTAACTTTTTTGAAACGTACATCACAAACTATTTAATTTATAGATAATACATAACAAAGGTTGGCCATCATTTAAATATTTATTTTCAATATTTCATTGTGTAACTAGCGATAAATGTTTACGTGTTTGTAATCTTGCTGCATCAAATAAAGGAAAGCTGCTGGAATGTTCGTTTTATTTATAATATACTGCAATTTGGACCAAAACATATTATTCCTTACCGTGGGTTTCAACTACCAAAACTTTTGTAAAAACAACTGTTGTGCTTATTCTTTTAAAAAAAAATGTCAATACAAAAATTGGTGTAAGCGACATCTAGTAGAAAGTGTTCGAAATTGCGCAAAATCATACTGTACGTACGTACACAAAGAGCGCTTGTGAGGCAAAAATTATTTCAACAATAGATGGCGTTGTACCGGAGAAGTTACAAATTACACAATTGTCAAAGTAAATTACGGGGAAACTTTATAATTTTTCTTCAAATTATGTTGCAATACATTTAAACAAGTATCAATGAAACCTTGTGTAAATCCTATGCCTAACCTATTAGCCCTCTATTAGTAAATCCGAATAAGCGTGCCCGCAGTTATGTGGTTGCTATTGTTACGCCTGACAGATGTTTAGGCGCGAAAATGAAACTAAACTTTTAAGAATTTAAATTCCTGTTTTTATTTTTAAGTCAAAAGTAAGCCGCTTTAAGACGAGCGGATTTGGTGAGAAAGTCTTGAGCTCTTACTGAATCCTCCTACGATGTGTTGTGATAAAAAGCAGCAACAGATTCTTTAAATTGTTTTAAAATACGTTGCTAGACACAACTTCGTGTCTCTATTTACTAAAGAGAAATATTGAGATGATTTGAGTTTTTGGCTGTGGAAATTTACTGCAAGAAATATGTATGCGAAATCGTGGAAATTTCCTAAACGATATTCAGTTATTATAAAGTTAAAGTCTTGAAAATTATTATAATACATGTGCATGATTATGAAATGACATGTCTCTCTAAAGTCAGATTCAGTTCTTACATTGTAACATGCAAATGTCTACGATGTTTTGCTTCAAAATGATTCAGTTTGTTTACGCCAAAGTTGTCCTTGTTGCACTAAAGATTTCACCGAATCATGCATACGAAAAATATTATCGTCTCGACTCCCTATTTTACAATCAATATTTGATTTTCATTTCTCGTAAAATACACGAGTAATTATTCGTTAAACAATGTATTTATATTACAAAAGCGTCTAAAGAAGTAGGGTTGAAGACGATTGAACTCGTAATGATTACAGTCCCAAGTACACTAGTTAAATATTTAAACTTCCATTACATTTCGACATTGATATATACCATATACCAATATTTTATAACTAATTCCAATTCTGTGTAATTCCAAACAATAGTGGAAATACAAACATGACATGACACACGAAGGAAAGCCTTTAAAGCCTTTAATGAATATATAATTGCTATTGTCCACTTAGCTACATTGCAGCTATGAAAATTATATCGAGGTCTTGATTTTTATTCTTTGTTGTAGCGATAAACGTTTTACTTCCACTGCTTTTAAGTATATACTATGTAAGTACGATATTTTAAATAAAACACGAATTATATACATTACTGTTTATTTTATGGTTCAATGGCAAAAACAATTCTAAAGCTAAATAATACACACAATGCAAAACAATGGAAATATCTATATGATAATATTGCAAATACATTTCACAGTTGCACATATCCTCTTACTTTATCTTTTTTTTCACAATTTTGACACATATTTTTTTGAAATATAAATATTGCACAATATGCTTTGAGGCATCTTCTTCACAGTTTATTAATACTATTTTCCATTTATTGTATATATTAATTACAAATTGAAAGTAAATAAAAATTGATTAAGCATTTTCCTTATTTTTATTTCCGTTCTAAATATTGTTCGTAGACATACATAATATTTAGGTATGGTTTATATTAATATTGTGTTTCAATACTCGTGCACAATAACATTTTACTTGATTTCGATGACGTCATCGCGTCAAATAATTTCTGTACACTATAAGTAAACTAATAAAAAGTTGTATAGAGAGAAAGGATATTGTGGTATTTTTTCTATAGCTCTGTCTTATGTTGTTTCTGTGCCTAAGTAGATTTCTTGTTTTGAACTGACCACGCCAGATAACCTTGTCGCATAAACATTTCGTCGACAGATTGACGCAGCGTAAGTTGGCCTCTCGCAATATGGACCGATGTCCTTGTCAAGGTTGCGGGAGTGCACTGTATGCGGGCGGCACAGGATTGGGCATTGTGGCAATGATGGGGAAGGCCTACGTTCAGCAGTGGACGAATCCAGGCTTACTATGATGATAATGATAATGATAAACATTTCGTTGCCCGCGGAATTAACATAAGATAAGTGGGTTGGGGAGGAATCATAGTATGTCTTACATTATTGTGCACGAGTTTTACACTTTTTGTGCGCTACTTACTCTAGGATACATGCTTGAATTAGGCGTTACAGAGTCATAAGTTGTAATTTCTACAATACAATCTCCATTTTTCAATACATTCCGTCGAATTATACTTTAACGAAAGTTTTATTAATTAAGATAAATGGTAACCAAAGTATTTTTAAATAGCGTTATAATAAAAAATTAACATGTCATTACTTTTATGCAACATCAAAGATTACGGTCTCAGCCAGATATTAAAAAAATATTGTAGTTACAAGTTGGATATAGATGTAGTTAAAAAACATTCGAAAAATACGTAAAAGGCTTTCAAAACTACGAAGAAAAGTTGATGTTTGATATTTAAATAATATTTTCGCTGCTTGTAGACATATGTTTAGAACATTAAGGCCCTTCGTACATAAGACTACGCAAATCTCTGATACTATTTACCAAATATTTCGTTGCGCGATTTGCGAGTAGACGGCTGACACAAATTACAATGTTATCTTTATAGATTTGATTCGCCATATTGAAAATCGCGACGAGACTAAAATCAACGTGTATCGAAACTTTGTGTACGAGGGGCCTTAATGGTAAACATTTGTGTTGTTAATACGTTTCAAATAAGTCGTGCATTAGCATTGTGACGTTATAGTTCTCAAAAATTAATAATATTTATTTTAAAAAAGGATCTACGAGTTCAAAAAAAAACGAAAATAATGTTTTATTGAAATCTGTAAAATTCTAGTGTGTTTAACAGATAAAAGTTTTTCATGCGTACATACTTATTTGAAACGCTTATTGCTTGTTTTAACCAAACTTTTTTGATTAATTTTGAATGTTAATATTAAACTTAGAGATGCATTGTAATAATGAAGACATCGTCTCGTCTTATGTA